CTCTTGATGAAGCATTCTCCAGACCCATATCCTTCCACTGTCCGCAAATTGAGGGAATCTTGATTCGTCTGAGAACAATACGGTCTTCCAAAAGTCAGAGGTTTGGTCATCATATCACTTGCCCACTTCTTTCATCTGACTATGTTGGCAGGTCTTAATAAGGGCTTCCGTCTAGCTGCTCTGCAACGATAATCCAATCTGTGGAGAATCCGTTGAACAGATTTCGGGCTCATCCCACCAACTTTGCCACTTCTGCAGTCGTTAATCTGGGATCCATTTCAATGCTCCTCTTGACAGCCCTTTTTGTCCTCTCCGATGGACCAGGATGACCCAGGCTCTGCCCAGTTGTTTCCTTGCTGTGTTTCCTGAACTGCACGATGATTCTGTTGACTGTCGAAAGCGGGATTCCCAAATTCTGCGAAATTTGCCACTGACTTATTCCACCATCTGCTTGACCAACTATCCTTCCTCTAACAAAATCTGACAATTCAACAGAATCTTGAGTTCTAGGCATGTTGTAGCACAAGATTGTGCGGACCATTTTCATTTATATAGTGTTTTGTGAACACAAATTAGTTAGCATAAATCAATTAAATGACGAAAAATTAGGTGTCTATTTACATGTGACCACTCAGTGTACATCATCGCTTAGCATCAAAACTATCACCTGATTGTTCTTATGCTAACTATCCTATCGTGTTTATGTTGAATGCTCAATATTAATATTTCTATAACTTTGGTGATAACTTCAGCAAAATAATTTCATTCGGAAGTTTATGACAATGAATTGTACCCAAAAGCAAAAATATTTCAGCTAAGCCTTATGTTATGTTTATTAGACTACAAATAAGCCTACTATTGCTAACGTCATAGTCAGTGTTTAAAAAGTTGTAAGTGGTGAATAAATGTAAATTAATCAAAATTCGTTTGGTATTTTAGCACTTATATTATCTACTTGGCCTTAAAAAATAAAGAAAAACGCTTATTACTACCAAATATCTTTTATCCTTTGTACAGTTGAAAGAGTTGACAATTTGTGTTGGAATGTGTGCACTATGTTTCTACTTTCTGACATAGAATAGAGTAGAAAGGCTTAAGAGTGCTACTTAAGTCTCTTTCAGAATGCACACGTACTTCTCTTCATGATAAAATTTTATTTTTCTGCATAGTTTATAATAAAAATGTGATGATCAAAGAATTACTTTAAGACTGATGAAATAAGTGAGGAGTAGGTGCATTTTGGAGGTACAGATAAATTTGTTTTAGTTAAATTCTATCATTTTCATTAGTCATTCAACAATGGTTTCCTATCATTTTTGATGGGGTTTTATACTAGTTAATAGATAAAGACTTTTCATAACACACTTCCTATCATTTTTGATGGGGTTTTATACTAGTTAATAGATAAAGACTTTTCATAACACACTTCACTAGCTTTAAAGACTAACTACACCTGATCAGACAAAAAACAAATCATAAAGCATTTGTCAGAGCAAAAACGTTTTGGGAATTTACACAGTTTCTAATTTTCAAGAAGAATGGACTTTTAATTCAACAGATAAGAGTTTCATGACTAAAGGAAATTAAATAATGAGTGTATGAAAGAACTTTCTTTTTCTTTTTATCAAAATCATATTGTTACATTATTACTCCTCATGTCTTGAGAATTTTCCACTGTGGTTTAGAAGATAAAAGATTAAAAAAATTTTTATATAATTTATGAAACATTTTCAGGAGACAAAGATATATTCCTAACTTTTAGCATCTAAAAAAAGCAGATGCACCTTAAGAATTTCTTAATACCTTTAAAGTAGGAAAAAGAGCTGAATTTTCAAAAATTGCCATGTGTAGCTCTTTTAATACAGCAAAAAAAGTCATAAACTACAACAACAATATTTTGTATTAATAAGGAAGTTACAAAATTATTATAATGGTTAACATCAAATATTTTAAATACAGGGTGAAAAAAAAAACAGTTGGTCATCCAGTAAGCCACCTTATGATGATGATTGATTTTGATTGTGTAAATAACTAGAAGTAAAGCTTTTCTTATTATTTATTTAAATGAAGGATACAGGCAATCACAGCGAAGCATTGTATGGCCAGAATCACCTCACCAGATCACCTATTATTCAATTTACAAATAATTACCATAATTGCATGTATGTATATAAACATAAATTAACTTTTCACGATTCTAATTATTTTATTTTTCTTCTGTATTTTGCAAAGAGAAGTAAACTTTACACAAACTTGAATGTTAAATTCACATGAAGTATAAAGATAACTTTTAAAATGTGTTTTAATATATTATTCCTTCATAACATATAAGATGTAAGATCTTGAAATCCTTTTTTAGTTGTAAAACACTCTTAAATTACTAGGTATCTGACCATAATTTAACTCCACTAAATT